ATTCCAAAGTGATAGACGCACGGGCTACTGAGCAGGCACATGTACAGCAGTCAACGAAGTTTGGCGGATTTATCGCCCTAAAGCGAATACAGCAACACTATTTTATTTCTTTAAGAGGAAGACAAAACAACGAATTCTCAAGTAACCTTGGGTAGCCTACGAACAGGTAACTTCTCTCGGATGAGTTATAATTACAAATAGGTGGCTGTAGGTGGTTTTAGATGGTTTTAGGTCGTTCCATGTTTTCGTGCTTACGTGTTTGCGAATGGCTGTAGATGTTTTTGAGGTGGTTGTAAGTGGTTGTTAAAATTTTTGAGGTGGTTGTAGAGGGTTGTAGGTGGCTGTAGGTGGTTTTGGGTTGTTTTCGGTCATTCCACGTTTTATTGCTTACTTATTCAAGGCACATTGTATGAACAGGAGCTCCAAAAGACGACGCAGGATGTATATAGAATTGAAAAGGTTATCCAAAGAAAAGGTAATTAAGTCCTTGTGAAATGGAAAGGATACCCTGACAAGTTTAATACTTGAGTTGTTAAAAGTGAGCTTACAGATTTGTAATGTCTCAGGCGAGCGGACGAGCTCGCTACTGCGTTCCAAGATTCGCTACAACTCGTTTCGGCTGACATCAAGCCTCATCAGCACGCCTAGCTTATGAAAAGCGGACGTTTACGACTCGAGAAGGAGAAGGAGAACTGATATGAACAATATGGAATTCAGAGAAAACGAAAAAGTTTGTAATAGTCATATAACGCTTGACGTTACATAACTCGTTACATGGCAAAAATTGTCATATCTTGTTGCCTATGATGTTTTGAAGAATCTCTGCAACTGATTCCACTGATTGTTTGGATGGTGGTACTGGTCTTGCTGATTGGGTTGAGATCAAATCTGGCCGATCAAATTGCATAACGTTGGTGTAATTTCAAGGAGCGAGCACACCACTGTCACTGTTCGCTCTCTGTCTCCTATTGGTATACTCGTATTAGTGGCGCACTTGAATGCTTGATATACGATGCAGCTGCACAAAAAAACAGAGGAAGCCTTCAAAAGATAGTAGGGCAATGAATCCTGGGGGAGAATTCTTCGTATGAAGGCTGCAATCGTCTCCGCAGGCTGGGACGGTTGATCTTGAGCTTGGTTGGTTCATGCAGATGGCCTTGGTTCCGTATTGTTCATATCAGTTCTGGTTTAGTTTCGCTAGCGCATGCTTTTTTATATTGGAGTGACGTCATTGCGTACCAAACATCCTTTGTGATTTGAATAGCGCAATATTAGCACAAAACCTATTTTTAGTAAAGGTGATTGCCAGGGTGATTTGGAATGTATCCTTGGGTAGCCAGCGAACAGGTAACTTATTTCGGATGAG